GCTGCTATTATCAAATTAATTTATAGTTATATAAATAATAATACCGGTCAATTTCGTTAGCAGTGTTGGGTTAGATTAAACCTTACAAAACCCTATTAAACGTAATCAAACCTAACCAAACCTAATTAAAGCTAACTAAACCAATTGATTTTATCTATGATTTATGATTTAAAATACATATAAATTACAAACAATAATCAATATTATCTCAAATAATTTGAAATTTTGAAAACATTTATCAACTATTGATTATAGTGAGTAACCACTACTCGTGTGTAACCAAAAGTCAAAAATTAATTTCTAAAGGTTAAGATTTARTAGTATTGCACACATTTGTTTCCTTCATAAAAGTGAGCCAAATAGATTGGGATCCACACTTGATTTTATATTATTACCTACCTATAAATATTATAGCACGGACCTATTTTCACTATCCTATGGTAGGTTGGTATTAACTCAGAGTTTAATAACAATTATACGAGTATATAATGATATAAGTATACACTATTATAATAATTAAATACTAATAATATAAATGTATATTTTCCGGAAAAATTAATTCAACCTATCGCATATTATTAGTAGTAAAATACATGAGCAATGTAAATAYATCATATAATATATTAATAGTAATATAGGTTGACATACCATATTCGCTCAAAATTGTTTTTTTTWAAATTAATAATGATTTATCGTTGAATTAAAATTTAACACATTTTAATTGACATGCTGACTGATGAGGACACTCGACACTTATATTGATCTATAGTATTTACCTGCTATTTTCATTTTTTTTTTTTCGTTTTGCATGTAACTTGATTGCGCTGTTCTAGATATTGTTGAATATCACATATTCGTCTATTATTGTCGACAACCTCGACAAAACAGTTGAAAATTATGACGAAATACTATCCCACGCCGTTTACGCCCAAAGACTCGACCGAAATGTGCATGCAGGCCAGAAAGCCGCTGTCGTCCTGTCACACAGAGAACTTCGTATTCCTTAGGTTCCTCATGCATCTTTTTGGGTACACCRTCGATGGACCACCGACGCCGAAAGACGAACACGTACTTATAGAATCCGCCACGACGGATACACAGACCGAGTTACATTTCTTGGAGGGTTATCAACATCTATTCGATGAAATGTTTATGTCCGTGTTCCAGAAAAAGAGGCGAAAAAGAGCCGTGGACGATCAGTACGATTTCGTGATAATCGGTGCCGGATCTGCAGGCTGCGTCGTCGCAAATAGATTGTCGGAGATTAAAGACTGGAAGGTACATACTTTATGTTTAGTTACAAGACTTAATATCCATCCATTTTGGTTTTGTAGGATCATACATTTTACCATCATAAATTTCTTAAACCTAACCTCACTTGTTCTATACACGTAGGAACCTACGGATTATATAATTWTATTTTAGTTTTATGGAATTATTCTAGGACTATACGAGTAAACTAAAATAAYAGTGATGAAATCAGCCCTAATTATTGAAGAGCTGTGAGCGTCTTAGTACCATGCGTCCATGCGGTGGCTTTTTTTCCGCATTAATTGCTTACTCTAATGAAATAAAAAATAGCATAA